ACCTAGCGTCACAGTGCTTAGTCTTCTGTGCTGCAACACCCTTAGATTGAGAGGCTAGCATTGCTGCGCCACTTCTCCAGTGCCACCGTGCTACCCATTTGAGAACTCTTTAGATAGAGAGGGTAGCCCACTGCAATCCTTCTAATAAAATTTTCAAGAATGCAAGGTTTTTAATATAAATCATTAACATGTCATTAATCTAATACAAATGAGAGTTATTATAGTTTAAAATAAGAGGTTGTAAAAGAAGAGAGAATTAGAGAATTCCCTGCATGCTCTTATATCAATTAGAGTATCAATATGACAACCCAAACAAAGAAAAAAAATATCAAAAAATAATAAAGTAAATGGGAATAACTAGGTATTCTTAGCTTGCTCAACAAAAGGGGGTAGGCTTTTAGGCAATTAAATGGTGCCTATAATCCTGATATCAGGAGGAAGGGAGGTGACCTGAAAGTTCAAAGGTTTCATATCTTTTGTGCTTCAATCTCGAACACTTATCAAAAGGCATATCTATGACTTGCTAGGAAATAGCACGACACCTTACTAAACTAATACTCTAATAATAACACAATTTTAACTTTATATTCCCTATAATGCTAAAAAATTGAGAATATTCTTGCTATTTCATTTCTTGTAATAATATCTCAAAAAAATTTTTGGGACCAAAGTAGTCCTAAATTTGAACAAGATGCTCAAGTATTACAAACATCCTTTTTGGAGCAAGAAGATGATCAACCATCTTTTTATCAGATATATATTATTATTGTACTCAATTACATAAAATTTTTTGTCTATTTGTGTTATAGCAATTGTGATTACTAATATATTAATTGTAAATATCATAATTATTTTTATTTAATATAATGCCTTTTATTACAATTTCATCCTTTGCCATGATTGTTTTATAATAGTTTCTATTATAAGTATTGTGAATACATTATTATATACTATCTTTTTTGTTTGATTAAATTCAAATTATTTTTGAACATTATATCTATCTTATCCAAATTCGTTATTCAACTATTTTGTAAATTTTTTGAATAATATCTTATTTAAATCTTATTGAATAATGTTCAAATATATTCGTAAAAATTTTACAGTTCAAACAACGATCGAATATGAAAAGAAATTTTATAACTAATGGTCTCAAATTTGATAAATTTTTAAATTTGAATTTCATAATTAACTTAAGCTTTGTTTGAGACTATTTTTTAATTTTAGTTCAAAAATTAAAATTTTTATATAAAAAAATAAAAAATTACTTTAAAAAATAGAAATAAAAACGTCCAAAAGAAGGCTTACAAAATATCCGTAATTAAGAGTAGAAGAATATTTTCATCTAAACAAAAAAAATTAAACATATTTTAATAAAAAGATTACTAGACTTGAAGCTTTCCCCTCCACTTTCTATGAGGTCCTTTCTCCCTCATGCTCGGATCATTCCCCTATTGTGCTTTTTTCAGACCAGCATGTTATGTTGAAACACAGATTCATTTTAAAAAATTACTGGTCTAAACAAAATGGTTTTTGGGCCGTCCTCCTAAATATTTTCTCACAACCGTCACATGGGAATCCCATCTTTGGTCTGTATAGAAAGCTAAAAATGCTTAAAGAGAGCATTAAGGATAAAGATTGGGCAAATTCTTGCTTTCTCTCAAATCAACTTGTTTTTCTAAAAGAGCAGCAATCTCAGTGCTATGGTATGTTAAATATTGACCCTCAAAATCCTGCTCTCAACTATAAACTGAAAACTATCAATTCTCAACTTTCGGATTGTTCTGCGTCTTGGACAAATTGGTTGCTTCAATGTGCAAAACTTAAATGGCTTTCTAAAGGAGAAGATGATTTAAAGTTCCTTTATGCTAGGCTTAAGAAGAGAAGGAATCATAGCTCCTCAACTCTGGTTGCTAGTGAAGACCCTACTATTAGGCAAGATATGATAAATTCTATTACTCAACACTTTGAGAAATTGTTCAATGCTACCCCTCCAGCAAATACATTGGAAACTTTCTCTATTCCCAAAGGTAATGTTATTCCATCACATTTATCTCATTTGCTGACAGTTAATGTTTCTGATGATGAGATTAAGGAAGCTATTTTTCTTGGGAGCTCCAACTCTTCTCCCGGTCCGGATGGATTTAACTTTGAGTTTTATAAATCCACTTGGCTTATTACGGGCCCTTTGGTGTGCAAAGCAGTGAAGTCTTTTTTCTCTAAGGGGTACCTTCCTAAGATGGCCAAAGCTACTGTCATCGCTTTGATTCCCAAATCCACTCATGCTTCCAACATTTCAGATTATAGGCCCATTGCTCTTTGCAATGTTTTCTACAAGATTATTTCCAAAATTCTGGCATCTAGAATGAAGGAAATCATGCCTTTTATCATTGGGAACAATCAAGCTGGCTTTATCAAGAAACGCATTGCTATTGATAATATCCTTTTAGCTTCTGAAATTCTCTCTGATTTCAAAAAGTTTGCCAAAAATAAATTAATGTGTGCCAAGCTGGATATTCGTAAGGCCTTTGATTCTGTATCTAGGGCTTTTATTTTATCCAGAATGAAACAAAAAGGCTTCCCTTCTTCTTTTATTCATTGGGTCAAGGCTTGCATTTCGGATGTACATTTTCCATATGCATAGACGGGGCGTTGGAAGGCTACTTTAACTCATCCTCTGGCATTAGGCAAGGCTGCCCCCTTAGCCCTTATCTTTTCTGCATTGCAATGGATGCCTTCTCCTGTTTGATTGATAACGACTCTAATCAAGATAATTTCATTGGGTTTCATAAGCATGGCGTGAACATTTCACACTTACTTTATGCGGACAATCTTCTAATTTTTGGGGAAGCTTCTCTTAACAATTGTGCAGCTCTTAGAAAGATTCTTGACATCTTTGCTAAAGTTTCAGGTCTTTTGGTGAACCATGAGAAGAGTCAGATTATAATTTCAAGCTATATTTCTAATCCTATGGATGTTTGTGAGGCTCTTCATATGCCCTCTTATTGTGCCAAGATGACTTATCTTGGATTGCCGATCTCGGTTAAAAAATGCTCTAAATCTGACTTTCTTCCTCTTATGCATTCAATTTCAAATCACCTAGCTGGGTGGAAAGCCAGATTATTATCCATGGGGGGAAGGCTACAATTCCTTAAATATACGGTTTGCAATACAATTGTCTATTGGATAAGAGGGTCCATTATTCCCAAATCTTGTATCAAAACATTTAGCATACTATGTGCCAAATTCTTGTTCTTTGGGGACTCAGAGGCTAAAAAGCTTCATCTTATCGCCTAGAAGAGAACATGCAAACCTAAAATAAATGGTGGGCTGGGTATCCTTGATTTAAATGGTCTTCAATTCGTCACCATGAGTTCACTGCTTTTCAGGTTTTACAATTCCAAATCCATTCTTTTCAACTATTTGAATGCTAAATATGGCACACCCTGGACTCCTGCGCTCTGCAGGCCTTCTCCTCTCTGGAACGAAATTAGCAAGGTGGCCTTGATTATTAAACCTGATATCTGTTTTGATTTTATGCCTCAATGTGTAATTTCTTTATTATGGGACCCTTGGTTTCAAGGTAACGCTTTGGTTCAAGCTTTTCCGATTTTGAATCTGCAAGTTATTTTCAGTCATTATGCCAAGGTTTCAGATTATCTGAATGTGGATGGCTGGCATCTTCCGTTTTCTAATATCGAGGGCTTGAAAAAAGCCTTGGAGCCTTTGGGGATTATTCCTGATGCAAAAAACTTTATTAACTTGAAGGATAGGAAAAACCCTATTTTTTCGTCTTTCCTTTTGCATTTTTACAAAGATGATGCAATTGTTGACTGGCATAAATCTGTTTGGCATAAACACTCAGCCATTAAATTTTCCATTTTCTCTTGGACTGCTCTTAACGGGGGGCTAAAAACTGCGGATGAACTAAGGAGGAGGTCTATATTGGTTCCCCCAACTGTGTGCTGTGCTTTTCTCACAATGAAACCAATTCTCACATTCTCTTTGAGTGTGACTATGCATATTCTGTCATTTGTAACTTAATTCCTGAGCTGGGAGAGTTCCTTTTATGACCTAGGTTGTCTCAAGTTTTTCAATATTTAGGGGATAAGGCTATCACGATTAAACATCAAAATGAGTTACTTTTACTTACTTCCTCATGTGCTGCTTACTATTTATGGAGGGAGAGAAACAAACGAAGGTTTAATTTCAAGTTTAGAGACGTCAATACTCTTTGTAATATTATTAAATTTGCGGCTGAGGCTAAATCCTCTACCTGGAAGCACAAAGAGAATCTGAAATTCCATTGGAAACCTTAATTTGCATCATTTCTATGCCTTGTTGGAGACGGGAGAATTATGTGTTGCTGCAACTTTCTGTGGATGATTATGTTTTTGCGACATATTGGCTGATGGCTTATTCTGATGCTGTTGGGAAATGTCATTTTGTTATTGTTCTTGGTATTCTCATTGCCTGGAAAGTTTTAGGGATAGTGGCTTGTATGGATCATGGATGCCTGCAAGATGTCCTGGGAAATTTTGTCGGAAACCCAGCTCTTTATTCGGATGGAGTACTGGAGCTTTGCTGGATTGATGTTTTTGGAGGTGCAAAAGAATGGACGATGATGTAGCTGCTAATCCTCTCCTTGGGCGGCCTTTTTGGCAACCAGGAGAGTACTCTTCATGTCGCTTGGTTGGTTTTTGGACGGTTTAATTGATTAGCAGTCTGAGTCCAAGTTTGGTTTAATACCATCAGTTTGGCCGGCTGCTTTTTTTCTTGCTTTATTTTGTTATGCACTTTTCTGTATGGGGGGTATAGGTTTTTGATAAGACCTCTTATTTTGTTTGAGATTTTGCCTTTTTATTATATCTTACTTGTAATCCTTTTTACATAATAAATACCGGCTTTTTGCCCTCATTTTCCCCAAAATAAAAAATAAAAGATAAGACAGTTCATATTTCTAGCTTATGAGTCTATAAAATTAAATTTTCTGAAAAGGAAATAATACCAATAATTGCCAATTACATTTTTGCAACGTTCCAGATTGGCTGGTGGACCTGGTGGTTGCTCGGATAACTTAGAGATTTGGGCGCAGATGAAGGTCGTCGTCGCCGTCAAGCGCGTTGTGGACTATGCTGTCAAGGTCCGTGTGAAGCCCGACAAGGTACGGACATCTACTATTTCCCCTTTCTCTCTCTTCACTCCTACGTCGCAGTCCGCGATAATAACAACATGTACCCTACATTGCCGCCGGTCAGAGCGGGGTGGAGACGAGTAACGTGAAGATGTCGATGAACCCCTTCTGCGAGATTGCCCTTGAAGAGGCCCTCCGCATACGCGAGAACGGCGGCGCATCTGAGGTCGTCGCCGTTTCCATCGGTCCCACTCAGTGCACTG